TTCGGCAGCAGCTGAATCTGGATGCCAGTTCCGACTTACATACAGATTCAACTTAAGAACCACATGTGCTGTGAGTATCACTGTGGTGCTTGGAGCTTCCAAAGTTGAGTAGCCCTGCCATAAGGGACCACAAAGCCCAGTTTGAAACCCACAAATCTATGGGGTCTTTTAGAAGAAATTCCTTTCTGACTAGGTTTTTGACTAGCAAAGCTATTCCTGCAACAACCTTATGCTCCCAAATTCATGAAATTTTTATGTTTCATATAAATATTTTCGTTTACTATTTGGTTTAATCATGTATTCTAATTTGGATTTTATGATGCCTTCAACGGAGGCATCAAGGGGAAAACATGTATCTAAAGTTGCTTCAAAGGGAACATAAGAACATAAGAACGGCCGTACTGGGTCAGACCAAAGGTCCATCTAGCCCAGTATCCTGTCTACCGACAGTGGCCAGCACCAAGTGCCCCAGAGAGGGTGGACCGAAGATAATGATCAAGCGATTTGTCTCCTGCCATCCCTCTCCAGCCTCTGACAGACAGAGGCCAAGGACACCATTTTATCCCCTGGCTAATAGCCTTTTATGGACCTAACCTCCATGAAATTATCTAGCTTCTCTTTAAACTCTATTATAGTCCTAGCCTTCACAGCCTCCTCTGGCAAGGAGTTCCACAGGTTGACTACACGCTGTGTGCAGAAGAACTTTCTTTTATTAGTTTTAAACCTGCTACCCATTAATTTCATTTGGTGTCCTCTAGTTCTTCTATTATGGGAACTAATAAATACCTTTTCTTTCTCAGCCCTCTCCACATAATTAATAATTTATTAATGGGCTCTTTGAAAGCCACTGACATTCTGCTCTGATGAAGTCCTGTAGGTTTTGTTTGGTTTGTCTATGATGTACTTGTAGAACTTATTTCCATGGCTGCTTACCAGGGAAAGGTAGTTCACTATTCATCCTGGCATGGGGACCACACAACCAAGGAGGGGTACTGTACAGATAGCCCGAACGTGAAAGTAGCCTGCTGGACGTTCCAGAAGCGTGAGGGAAAATCTACGGAACGCATGTTGACAAACTCAGGTTCATACTACCACACTAAAACTAGTTGTGGAGATACTGCAGTTTGGGCTGGAGACTGGGTTCTAAACTGTAGAAAGCAGAGTATAGGCTTCAGAACCCAGGCTACAGGCTAGGCCACAACTGTAAAATATTACCTAGACACCTACTTTTTGTGTAATTGTACAAACTTAAAGGTGTTGACCCAAGTTGGGAGGCATGCTGCTGCTGGCTCCACAGATATATTCTGAAAAGCTGCCTGCTTGCTAGCTAGCACTCAAGTAAGTATTGTCGCAGAAACTTTGTACCACTCACAGCTTTACTCAGTCAATAAGGATAATTTTGAACATTGGAAGGCATTTCTTGCCGCTCTGTAACCCCATGAAAGTGCAGGTCTGGTGACTATAGTCCTCCTGTGCCTCTGTTTTAGTCACTGCCTATCGGAATGTTCCTAATATGGAGCCAACATGTGGAGCAGGGGAGGAGTGGGGAGAGAAAGGCAGGCCCATCCCTGCTTTTTGGAGTCTGAGCCCTTTCCTTGGGCAAAGCAAGGGTGGATGATCAAAAGGCACAATTCCCACTCTAAGCTGCCTGAAATCTGTGCTTCTTTCCCTGGCACTGCAATGGTGCTTGGGCTAAAAGCCAGACATACACAATTCCTGTTAGGCTGCAGCCTCAGATAGGACTGCACAGGAACAGGTTTCCCTGCAGGTTCAGACATGCTGCAGCGTAGAAAAGGAACAGTGATCAATTACAGAGCATTGTGAAAGCCTCTATGTTTAGAGAAAAGCCCAGCAAAACCTCCTTCAGATGAGAAGGCAAAGGAAAAGAGATTCATTCAACCCCTGATTTTCACCTCAAATGTTCATTAAAAATATTAATTACTGCCTTTGGAAAGACACAAATGCATTTGTCTTTTTGCACCTGAAGCCTCTGCAGTTTGCAGTACCTATTCGGGATGTAAATGAGTAGTCAAGTCAACTACTCGCATTTCCTGCCCCCTGCTGTCTCTGTTTCAAAGGCAGCAACAGGGCGGAGGGAAAGGGAGCAGTAGCTGGTGCTGGGGTGAACCGGCTTTTAAACCAGTTTTTAAGCTGGTTCCCCCCAGCACCGTGTCCACAGTGCCACCTGCCCACCCCCACCCCTGAGAAAGGGGAGGCTGCCGCAAAGCAGAATCCAAGCTCTGCTAAAATAAATGGAAGTTTTTCCACTAACTTCTATAGAGTAGGGATGTAAGCAGTAGTTGCCTAGTCAACTAACCAATAAGCCTAGGCTTGTCAGTTAGTCAAGTTGACAACTTGCATCCCTCTCTCCTTGCTGCCTCTGTATCAGAGGCAGCAACGGGGGGAGCAGGAGCTGGTGCTGGGGGAACCCAGCTTAAAAGGGGGTTCCCCCCTGCACCTTCTCTGTGTTGCCACCTCCCCCCTCCTCTCACTACTGCTTCTACCTGAGGCAGAGCATGGCAGGGGAAGTAAGAAGAGGCTGCTCTGGTAGCAGCCCCTATCTGCAGTGGTCTGAGCTGGCTGTGGGCAGAGACTGCTCCGGCAGCAGTGCCTGTCTGTAGAGGGTCCCAGCTCCATGCTGGGAACCCCCACCCCCATGGAAAGAGGCTGCTGGTCCTGGCGTGAGACAGTACAAAGCAAGCCCAACTCAGACCCAACTCGTGCTGGGTCTGGGACCTACCCCTGCTGAGGCTCTACAGTTTAAATGCAGTAGAAGCCAGGCTGCCTGCCTTACTACATTTAAACTGCACGGCTGCAGCAAGGGTAATTCCCAGACACGAGCTGGGATTGAGCACCTTTCCTTATCAACTAATAGTATAGTTGATAAAAATTCTGTTGACTACACGATTAGTGAAATACTCACTTCTTAACATACCTAGTACCTATCCTGAGTATTATTGAAAATTCCTCAATACATAGTAAGAAACGGAAATCGAGTAAGATCTTCTTATCCCAGGGAGTTGAACAACCACTTCTGTATCTAAGGGAGGGCACTATCTTTTCAAGGTTTTCCCTTTTCAGTCCAGGTCTCCTCAAGACTTGTCTCTGAACTGACTGGGTACCTTTTCCTCTTCATTAGAGCCCCAATCAAAATACTCCTGATTGGTTTTTTCTGTGTTAGAGTCACAGCTCCTCTGAGCAGGATGGAAAACTGACTCACTGGCTTGACTCTGAGCCCTATCCCTTATTAATGCCAGAGTTACTTGGCTTGAACGGGCAGAATTAACCCTCATTAAAAGTAAAGGTTTCTAAACAAATGGTTGGGAGAAACTGAACAGCCAAATTGTTCCCCTTAAGGAAGGAAAAAAATCTGGTGTCCTGACCTGAAGAGCAGAGTTTAGGTCAGGAAATAGCAGCAACAACATTGTACCACCTGCAAATTCCACAATGGAGAACATTAGCCCTTACCTAATGAATTAAGAGAGAAAGTGCAACCAAATATAATATATCTTACCTGTTCACTAACTTTTTTCTCTTTTTCTAACTCCTTTTCCATATCTACTAATTCTTTGTCTTTTTGTTCCAACTGCTTTTCCAATTGACGGATCTCATCTCGCAAAAACCGAGTATCACGACCACCAGTAGCTCGCTGTGCCATCTTAGAGGAATGTTAAAAATTAACAAATGTCCATATTTTTCTTCATATTAAAAATGTAAGACAGCTAGTGAAAAAGATATTTGCATGGAGGTAACAATGTTTTCAAACACAGCTTTAAAAAACAAAATAATGGATCATGCGGCCATCTAAGGCGGGGTGGGGAACCATTTTTGGGTTGGGGGCTATTGACCCACCGAAAAATCAGCCAAGGGCCACACAAACCCAAACCCTCATTGATGTAGCTTCAACTGAGAAGAAAGATCCTCCCCACATTCCCCTCACACACCAGAGCCTAGGTGGGCTGAGCCTAGCAGATTTTGTGTGCTCCAGCCCAGTGTGGGCTCCCCAATGCTGGGGGCGAATGAGACTCGGGGGCCAGATCCAGACAAGCTGGAGGATGTATCCGGCCCCCAGACCTGAGGTTTCCCACCCCTAATCTAATGTTTTAGTGTCTACAAAAAAAATCACTTGAATGTAAATCTCCAGAGTCATTAAAATAAAAATCTTCCTAGAGATCTTCATACATACACAGTGCTCCCTAGATACGTCTTGATACTATTCCAAATTAATACTGAAATTAACTACAATACATGGCAAATACATTTTTTTCAGCAGCATTCCTTAGCAGACCTAAGAGTCTGATCCAAAGCCTAGACTAGAGAATCTGTCCTCAACGTGCCAGTGTGGAAGGAAAGGGGAACATTTGGTTGGGCAGCAGGAAGACTATAGTATCCCCAGAAGAGGGATCATGGAAGAGAGCCTCTGCCTGAAAATATCCCCCCTCCAGCACACCTTCCCCCAAAGCAGGCCAGGGAAGGATGATGCTGGTTGGACCAAAAGAGTGGACTTGCCATTCTCAGTAGAACAGCAGGGAGGAAAGCACAGGCTGGATTGAGGACCCTCTCCCTCTCTGGGTTTGTTACATCCCATTGGCCAGCTGAGAGGAGGATTGGTAACAAGCTGGTTCTCATTATTCTCCTTCAAAATTTAAACTTTCCTGTGCTACACAAGTCTCTTGTCTGTTCAGCTGCACAGACTTCCCTCCTTGCTGGGTAGATACAGAGCTGTGTTTCCTCACAGAATTGTGGAGGCACAGTTTAGGTAAGAAATAATAGGATTTAGAAGTCTGATACTAAGCTATAATATAAGAATGCATCATTTGTCACAACCTGAAGTTCTCCAGTAGGAGTGTAAGAGTGTAGCTGTTTAAACGGGTAACAGATAAGCAGGAGTTTATTGGTTACCCAAATGGCTACACATGGCTCCCAGTCTGGCTCCTAGGGAGCTGCCTGCTGCCCCACACTGTTGCCTCTGATACAGAGGCAGCAGAGCATGGTGGCTGGTGGGAGCCAGTACAATCAGAGACGGCAGCATGGTGAGTCTGTATGGGAGGCAGCAGAGACAGCTGGCTGCCACCCTGCATGTAACTCAGACACATTTTAACATCCCTAATGTCCAGTGTGGATAAAGACTAATAGAGTTTGCTCCCAGATTTAAATGAACCCTATTATGCTAGTGTGCCTTGTGCCTATACACAGAAGATGAGGTCTGAAATCTTTCAGACAGAGGCTTCTCCTTAGTACTCTCTATCCCATGCTGGGAGACAGGGTTAAAGAACTCAGACATGACCTGAATCTTTGGGTTGTGAGTTTATTTTACTGGGGTTGCCAGGGTCTGTGTTAGATTTTCTGGATCCTAAGGCAAAAATGCTGAAGCCCAAGACCCACAAACTGGGGCTGAAGCCAAAGCAACTTAGCTTTGTGGGCCCCCAAGCAACTGCCCAGCTTGCCAGACCCTATAACTAACTATAGAATAACATGGGGGACTGAGGTCATGTAGAAATTTTGTTGTCAGAAGGGGATCAAAATACAATGAAGTTCAATAAATGCTGGGTTCACTACTGGGAGTCCTGTCCTGATGCACTCACTGGACCTGGTATGTGACAGAAGGTGGAGACATATACCATCTCTACTCAGTATTAGTTCATAAAATTGCAGTCTGCTGCTTAAAATCTATTCCACTATCTGTCTTTCATTTACTTGAATTGCCTGAAAAGAGATCAATGATAATCTTTTAATTTAGTTCTATACACTTGATCAGTCCCTAATATGTACACTTATTGAAGGGCTTTTTTAAAAAAAAATTCTTTATCTTAGCACAAAACCCACCATCTTTTTTAAAACATTTTTAAAAAGAAGAGATTATTTCTTCATGCTCAAAACTCAAATAATGTCAGAAACTACACCCAGGTTCACAGAGAAGAAATATTACTGGAACTCTAGAAACTAATTTAATTTAAAAATAAACATACCTCTAATTCATTTTCTAGTTTCATAACTTTTGCTTTTAATTGATTTTCTGTTGAAATAAAAATAGGACATACTGGGTTATCCAATTCCTCTAAGCAAAAAAAAAAAAAAAAAAAAAACCTTATGAGAACTACAGAAACAACAGCAATCTTCATCCCCATTCATCAATATCGGGGTGAAATCCTATCCCCATTGAAATCAAGGAAACCAATGGCAAAATTTCCAATGTGGCAAGGATTCAACCTATAATTATTTAATCCTAATGTTTTATCCATGTAATAAGTAATTTTGTTCATAGCTATTCTAAATGCTTATTTAGAAGGATTGCTCACCAAATTTAGCTTGTTCTTCCCCAGCTTTTTCAACTTCTTCTAATGCAAGCTCTACCTCTTGAGCTTTCATCTAACAAAGAAATATACATAGTAAGAAAACATATTTACCCTTAGGCTGATTTATAAAATGGTGATAACCTACACAAAAATCTCATGCTAGAACCAATGGACATTTTACAAAAGGGAAGCAATCTTTTCTTTATCAAACCAGCCTCCAAAATTTTTCACTTGATCCACATTCACATAAGAATTGAGATACATAGTAAAATACCTAGCTCTTATATATGGCTTTTCATCCATACATCTCAAAGCACTTTACAAAGATAGCAGTTTAATTTATCCCCATTTTTTACTGATGAGGAAACTGAGATACAGAGAGGTCAAGTAGCCTACCTAATATCACCCTAACCGGTGGCTGAGCCAGGAATAAAACCAGGTACTATCAAGTACCACTCAGGTGCTCTATCTACTAACCCACAGTGGGTATTTTTCCATAGGTGTTATAGTAACAATAAAAAAAACTATGGTACTATGTATTCAAAAGCACACACCCTGAAAACTACAGAAAAAATCCCTACAAAATACAGACTTTGTGACCTGCTTAGCACTGCCATTTGTAATACATCTATGACAGGATGTAAGATTTCAAAAGAGTAATTTTGAGATATGGAGAAGAGTGATGTTTTCTGATTAAAATATGACCATTTAGATCATAATTCTAATCATTTAAGTATTTGCAACAAAAAGTAGTTAATAGGATGTCCATGGAAAGGTTATGATTTGCTGAATATGATTATGCTAATGCTATGAATGTATAATTTTGATATTTGAACATATGAATATTAGCTGTGTACCTGTATTTCAAATGATTGGCCTTAGTTAAGATCTATGAGGTATTCAGGCAGCACAGTGTGAAGGGATGATGCATGAATGCATTTTAAAAAGTCATGTTTTTTTAAAAAATAAGATTAATACAAACCTTCATTAGTGACTGTGTAATTTTAAAAAGATGTACTACATGTTCAAGATTTTCACCTTTTAAGTCATTTCCTTCTACCTAAATAAATATAGACAAGAATTTGATTTAGTTAAGCATAACAAAAATTAAATAAACACACTTAATGCTACAAACACACTATACTAGTTAATTAAAGAATGCATAATAAAATTCTTAAAATTTACTTAGAGTACCTTGGATACTGTTTCCAGCAAGCTATCTGCCAGCTCTTCTTGACGAGGCAGAACATCAGCATCAATTCTCATAAGCTTCTTCCAATCTAAATTGGGTGGCATCTTGAATTTAAAATACTTTTTCTGTAACAATAAAATAATCATCAGCAAACACCAATACTATATATGAACTTGTACTTATGATTCTCAAAAGCAATCATCTGAATGGCAGACACTCATGTTAAGAACATGTTAATATCCATAATAGGGATATTAAATTTCAATTAATCAGCTAATCTAGTAGTCAATGGAATTTCCATCGACCACTTGATTAGCCTATAAGGGGGGCACTTGCTATCCCCATTGCCTCTCTCCCTTTGAAATGTACAGGAGCCACGAGCAGCTCTTCTACATTTCAAAGGAAGACAGGCAGCGGGAACCCTTGCCAGCGGGGACCGAAGCAGTTCCTGCTGGCACTGGTGCCTCTCTGTGCCTCTCCCTTTGAAATGTACAAGAGCTGCAGGCAACTCTTGTACATTTCAAAGGGAGAAGAGAAGCAGTCGGGACCAGCAGGAGCAGGACTGTTTCAATTCCCACTCGTGCCATTTTCCTGCTGCCCTCTGCCCCTTCTGCTCCCTCCCCCATGAAGACAGTGCTGGGGGGAACTGGCTTTTAAGCTGACTCCCCCCCCCAGCACCAGTTCCTGCTCCCCCACCCTTGGTGCCACTCTCTGACAGAGATAGCATTTGCTTATTGGGTAGTCGACTAGTCATTTACATCCCTATCTTATAATGCAGTACATTGTGTTTCTATGTGAATGCACTCCAATCTTTCAATCAAGAAAGTCTCTTAGAATTAGGGATATAACATCAGTTAATCAATTAAGTGGGATCCTGCATTGGGGCAGGGGATGACAGCAGGAAATGATAGCCCCAAGCACAAGGGGGGTCAGCTTCAGTTTCCAGACCCACCACATGTGGGGTGGCTGCTCCTGTTCTCACACACACAGACACACACACACCCATGTGCCAAGTAGCCAGCACCTGATACCCGCGGGGCTATGGCAGCCCTCTGCCAATGGGGGGCCGCGGGCAGGAGGCTGCTCCTGGATACTGGTTAACCAGTCACCCAGTCACATCTCTACTTAGAACACCCAACAACTGCATTGCAAACATCTGACTACCTGGAATCCATTTCTGTAAGACAGCAAAATTCTTATACAGGTTGGACCTCCCTGGTCTGGCACCCTTGGGTGAGCTGTCCTGGATGAGGGAGTTTGCTGAACCAGGGAGGTCAATGTTCCCCTGCTAGCTGCCCTGATGCAAGCTCATCTCTCTGGGGCTCTCCACTCTACCACTGGCCCGCTAAGGCTGGCCCAGCTGAGGCTCCCTGTCCTGCTGCTCTCCCACTGTGCCAGGGGTTCCCATGAGTTGGCCAGCCCTGCTGCCTCTAGGGGTTCTTGGCTGGGCTGTCTGGCTGATGCCAACCCCGCTATCTCTAGGGGTTTCTCAAGGTTCTACAGGCTGCCCAGCTGCTGGTGGCCCCACTGTGGTAGCCCAGGCTCACTGCCTCTAGAGGTTTATGGACCAGGGCCGCTAGGCTGGCCACTGCCACCAGGGATTCCCCTGCTGGGGCCAGGACTCCCTTGCTACCACCTCACCCCGCCACCAGAGTTACCCAGCTGGAGCTCTCAGGCCACTGCCTGGCTCCGCTGCTGCCAGGGGGGGACTGTCCAGCCATCCGAGCCCCGCCACAGAGAGGTCTCTGGGGTTCTCAAGCTACCACCGGCCCCGCTGGTAGGGGTCGTCCACCTACTGACCCCACGGGTTCCCCACCCAGGGAAGAGGCTTCCCGGTGTCACCTGGCCCTGCTGACACCTGGGTTCCTCTGCCCAACTGCTACTGGCCCAGCTGAGATTCTTCAGAATGCAGACCCTAAATTCTCCAGGCTCGTTTCCACTCCTGGAGCTCTTTGATTCAGGGTGATGGGGCAGACAGAGCCCGACCTCCCCACTGGAGGCTTTTCAGCACTCTGGCCAGTAGCAGCAGCAGTGGAGAGGTCCTCCGGGCAGGGTAGAGGGGAAGCTTGCACTGTAGCCAATCAGGGTATGGCAGGCTGCTATATAAGGAGCTGCTGGCGAAGGCCAGGCAGTTCCAACCTGGAGCTCAACCCAGTTAAACCTCTGGGCTGACTGGGAACACAAGCACCTTGGACAGCTCCGAGTGTGAGTTGAGCCCATGCAGGTAAGTTGAGCTAGATCCTTTTGAGAAAGGCTAGCCAGTGGTAACTCTGAGGAACCCCAGAAAAGGGGAACTTTGCAACTAAGCCCTAGAGAATGGCTGAATGAGACAGCATCTTGGGGAAGTGGCCCAGGGACACAACTAGAATTATGGACTCTGAAACCTGGCAGGTAACTGCTACATAGAAGGTCCCTGGGCTGGGACCCAGAGAAGTGGGCAGGCCTGGGTCCCCCCTAACCTCCTACAAACTACACCTGAAAGAGGGGGTAAAGAGGAGGCCTGAACCTTGGCCACGGATTGGACTGTGCCTTGCCTGCAAACAGGTGAGGTAATTATTGTGTGACCTCCTTCAGCCACTAAGGGGTGCTCGCAGACAGGACTGAATCTGTTACACCTAGCAACATGCCAGACCAGAGTCCCAGATTTGGGACTACTATCATCATCATTTTGCTTACTGTGACTGTAGCTGTATAATCCAGCAGTTTACCTGACAGTCTGCTGTGAGAATAATAAAAGTGTGAAAGAGAGTTCCACTATCTGGAGTGGCTCTCCAATTTTAAATTTGCCATCATATTGGACATAATGAGAAATGCATGAAATACATCCACAAGAGGACTGAAGTTCATGAATTGACACATTCACACTGGATGCTCCTACCATGTGCTGACAATAGCCCCAAACTACCAATTTCACCCTGCTATGTTTAAAAACAGAAACAGTATATTTTTATATAATCTATGTATTTCCCTAAATAGATGGATGGCAACAATGTTGAGTAATTTTAAAAAAAAGTGTATTCACTCCATTGATGCTAGCTGGCATACGGAATTGGGACAGATATTTTGTAAATGACAAGCTCTCTTTCAGATATCCAGCGTCCTCACTGGGGCTCAGTCTATTTGAAAATCCTCTCTTTTTTTTTTTTTTAATGTCTTAGAAGTGGGTAATTTACTCATCGTGTAGTCAATAGGATTTTTATCACTACACAATTAATAAGGTAAGAAGCACTCAGTCCCGGCTCGCACCAAGTCCAGGACCTACGCTTGCTTCATGCTGCTGCCTCCCAGGTAAGTGGCACCGCGGAGACGATGCTGAGGGGGAACTAGCTTTTAAGCGAGCTCCCAACAGCAATGGCTCCTATTTCCCCTCCCATTTTGCATACTCTGATACAGAGGCAGCGAGAGGGGTGGGGAAATGCGAATAGTCAACTTGACTAACTGATAAGCCTAGGTTTTATTGGTTAGTCAACCACTTTCTTACATCCCTACTTCTAAGCCCTCATCCTCCCTATACCTAAGGCTATGGGAATCTCACACATTTCTGGGAACTGGCACAACTTGTTCTGAATTACCTCAGCCCAGTTTTGCCCCTTTTTATGTTCCATATAATCATTTACCAAGGATGACATTACACATACAGTATCCATATATTTTTTATCTCTTACTTTTCCTGAATGACAGGGGGAGGCAGCTGCAGTATGCCATGCAGAAAAAAATTCAAGGATCTTTTCAAATACTAGTTCTGTCCAGTTCATTAGGAGAAAAGAGCTCAAGAGAAAAAATATTCTAAGCAGAAGATGTGTCAGAGTAGCAGACCACAAAGAACAAAAGGCTGAGACTGCAAATTATGCAGACAGGCTATTGGCATCATAAAAACACAGGCCATGAAATGTGAACAACTAGTTCTGAAATAGAACTACTGATCTTTGTCCGTAGACAAATGTTTGAGGGCTTTACCGTCCCTTACACGGGACTGGCACATCCAAGAATGTAAACAGAGAATCATTTGTTAACAGTCCCACTCTAGAATTCAACCAGTCCTTTACTATTCCTCCACACCTTTTGTATCCTTCCTGGTTTCTAATTAGTTAATGACTTGGGAAAGTTACGCAAACCTATAGGCTATTATATTTTAGGATACCAACTTTGATTGTTTAAACAAGGTCTGAATGAGTTTGGAAAGAAGACTATAATAACGCACCTTGCTTGCACAGACATATTCATTTAGCCCAGATGCCCAACATGATGGAGCTGTTTTGCCTAAATGATCTCTTTTGGAGGAGGTGTTGGATTGCAAGTTACTTTATGACATGCAGAGCTAATATTATGTTGTTACTGTTGAGGTGGAGAAGCAGAACTGTGCTTGGCATATCCCAGTTGAGGGCTCTATCCTCAACTGAACAATATTCACAAAGCAGAGAGAAGGGATGCCAAAACCCAGTGGAAATGAGGGGGTGGGGACAAGAGTTTGTACTTGGTGGTGGGGGCTCTGCCTAAGGGTCTTAAGTACCATTTGACTTTCTCTCTTGCCACTGCAAATGATCTCATTATAGCCAAAGATGAAGCTCAGGAGTCCATACTGATATTAGCTCTACGTGCAGCTTTGGATACTAGTGATCATGAGGAGTTATTGACCAATTTGTTTGCGGACCCACATGATAGTAGATGAGGCTGATTTTAGATGGCTGATGGTTATCAAATGGCTCCTCGTCTCTAAAAGTCATATCATGAAGGTCTCTACTTAGTTACCCCTCTTCTTCATTGTAAAGTATGTATAGAATCAGTGAGATATGTGAGGAAATATTGTAAGACCATCATTGTGGTGATTACACGGAACTCTGACATCTTTTCATCTCACCCAGCCAGAGTGGTAAACTGCATTACCTTGTACCTGTATAAAATCAGAACATGATTGAGCTGTAGTTCAATCCAAAATTACTTGGATGATATTAAATACAAGATGTTATAGTCAAAACATTATGTGAAGAGAGGATGGATAAGTGAATTCAATCTGAGACTTATGAACCTCCGGGTGCCAACTCATAGAGGACTCGGGATACAGAGACTTTTACACTGATCTCCTGGATCAGAGATATGCATAATATTTTACCAAAAGGTGGTATGTGAGCTTTCTACAAAGAGCCAGTATCACATTAGTGCATTTATTAATATCAGCAGAACTGACTTAAATGGGGCCTGGGTGTTGCCTTAGACTTTGTATTCATACCCGTCAGTGTGAAAGAAGCTATATGCACATATATTTGCATGCATATGCAACCACACTTAAGTTGCGGCCCTCAGCATGTGCTGTGAGTATCATTGTGGCCCTCGGGGCTTCCAAAGTCGAGTAGCCCTGAGCTACCTGCTGCCCAGAGATACAGGGAGCTGGGACAGGCTTGCTCAGGCTGAGGGCAGATGGTAGGACCCTGGCAGCATGACCCCAAACCAACTAGAGCCCCCACCCTCCCAACAGCCCTTCTATTGGCCAGGGACATTTTTAAAAGCTTGGCGCGCGCCCCACTTGCCTCTCGCGCCTACACCGGCCCTGGGAACACGCCAGCCTCGAGTGGCACAAGCCCCGCGCCGGCCGAGATCCTCCCACGGTGCGTGGCCGCAGCCAGGCTCCTCAGCCACGCAGGGCCCGCCAAGGGGAGGCGCGGCTCCCTGGCGAATCAGCGGACAACGGGACCTGGGCGGGAGGCGCCGCTATCTCCCCAGCGGGGTTCCTGCCCCACAGCTCAGCCCCCTCCCCCAGCGCCGCGCCCTCCTGCCCTCACCCGTCTCCGTTTAAGCTACTGGAGGCCACGGCCGCTGCTAGGCGACGCCATCAAACACCGCTCAGCCGGCGCCGCGGGGGACCCGGATACACGCAGATGAATCAAAACTGGCGGGGGCCTACAAGCCCCAGCGTGCACAGCGCACCCGGCAGAGACTGCCACTCCCGGCACGCACCGCTCCACGAAGAGCGAGCACGGTTTTCAATGGCGCAAAAGAGGCCGCGGTGGAAGAAGGGGGAATCTGCCACGCCTAAGTCTTGCGAAGACTACATTTCCCGGCATGCCGCGCGTCCGCGCGGGGAACTACAGGTCCCAGTACACTAGGCAACCTTAAACCAGCCGGCACGCTGGGACCTGTAGTGTGGAGGGGGAGCTCCCGGCAGCCTTCGGGAAAGTAGTGGTTTTCGCGCTTGCGTAGTACACAAGGGAGCGTCCCTTGTAGTCTCCGTGTAGCGCGGTGGCTGTGGAGCGAGTGATGTTCATTGGCGGCAGGGAGAGCGTGTTACCCGCACAGCGCCAGGTAGGGGAGCGCTGCGAGGGCGGGGAGCGGCAGAGGGGGCCCGGCCGGAGGAGAGGGGGGTGTTGCTGGAGCCCACCCGCCCGGTAGCGGCTGCCCCTCCCGTCTCTCGGCATGGGCAGCCGGGCGGGGCTGCCGTCTCCAGAGCTGCCCCTGCTCTCGAGTCTTGCCTCAGCCTGGGCTGCGAGGCCCTTGGGTGCGGGCCCTTCGTCCCGGGCCCGCCTCAGCTGTTCGCCCCTCGCCGCCTTCCGGGACGGGGCTGTTCCCCACTTGCAGAGCAGGGGGTTGCCCTCGGCTCCGGCCCCCTACGCAGCTCGGCGCCCCGGGAGTGGCAGCACTGAAGTGCTACTGGTCACTTTTAGCTGGCATGTGGCGACAGGGGGCTTCTTGGGGCAGGGACCAGCTGCTTGTGTTGTACAGAGCCTTGTCCGGCAGGTCTCCCCGTTCTCCATACAAAGAAGCTATGGGGATGTCTACACTACAGAGTTTTTCGGGAAAATGGCCATTTTTCCGAAAAAAACTCCAATTACATCCACATTGCAATTGCGTTCTTGTGAAAGAAAATCAAAAGAACAGCGGGGGTTTTCCAACATTGGTAATTGTCATTCCACGAGGAAGAAGACTTTTTCCTAAAGAGCTCTTTCAGGAAATGACGTGTGTGTGTGGACGGGGAAGAGGGAATTCTTTTGGAAGAAGGAAGAGGAAAAAGCACAGGAGCCTTGGTGGCCACTCCATCCATAGTAATCACAGCTGAAATGAAAGATATAATGCACATGGCTTTTTCGATAGGCTTTTGCAGTGTGGATGCTGTCTTGCAGAAGTTTTTCTGGAAGCTCTCTTGTGGAAAAACTTCTTCCAAAAGAAGCCTGCAGCCTAAACACAGCCTATAGGGAAATATGAGGACTATTCAGCAACAAACCCAGGAGCACACAGCGCTCAAAGCTGAGCTGGGTTTCTCTCGTTACAATTCCTGCTATGTATTCTTTCTTGGACATAGATGTTGTTGCATACGTGTTTTTGGCAATTATGGGCAACACCTGCCTTACAACAGCCCAAGTTCCAACCCCCCTCACTTACAACCATTTTTTAATACGGAAGGGGCTAATAACCCCCGACTTATGTCCTCGGCCCGCATTTATGATGGTGCCTATTGTAAACATGGGTTCGAGTTATGATGCCCCTGACTTGCAATGCTTCCCCCAGAAACCGATCGTGTCACAAGTCGGGGGCTGCCTGTAGTCTTTCCTAACGTGCATATCTGTCTCTAATTCTAACTGCTCTCCTCCAAGAGGTGCTCACATTCTAATGGCTTGTCTTCACCCCATGGAAGATTGCCACTGCTGCAATTGATCATCTGGACTTCAATTTAGAAAGTCTAGTTAAAACTAGATTCCCATAGGCTTTCCTGAACTAGACTTGCTAAATCCAACTCAGAGGATGCCCCCGGTGGCATCTGGTACTCCTCTTGTGAGGAGTAAGGGAAGCCATGGGGATACTGCCAAACTTGACTTACGTTGCTGTACCCTAAGCTGAGCTCCCAGGTATAGCGTATACCTGGCTTAATATAGCTTCTTCAGAGCTCGCTTTTGCTCTCTTTTCTGGGCATGGAGCTGCAGTAACCAATCCAAAGTTAAATAAAAGCCGTACTTAGGCCATGTCCGTGCTAAGAGCAGCTGTGCCATTATAGTTCTGCAGAGTAGATGTTTTTTATATCAAGGGAAAGATCAGTCTATCAGTGGAGTTAAACTATCTCTCAGGGAGGTGGGATGGACATCTGGTTAAGACGTCTACATTTTTTGAGTCAATATAACTACATTGCAAAGGGTCCGACATTTTTCATAAACCTGGGGGATAAAGCTATGTACAGTAGATCTAATTTTTAAGTCTTATTAAAGACTAGCTGCCAAGCCTTACTCAGCAGCAAGGAGCAGGCGGGAATATATAGAAAACCAGAGGAGACTGTACTAAACTTCACACTGATTTAATGCCCAGTCACTTATATTGGTTGTGACGACAATGTACGTAAACGCAAAATACTGTATTGTTGGAAAGAAAAATTGAGCTGTTCATATACCATACAAAATTCTGAGTTAACTATCAACTTAGGAGATGGAAAACTTATTGAAGGTGTAGCGTGCAGCTGTGGTCGAAGGCAAAGATGATGTATAAAGAACAGAATGGAGAATCCTACAGCAAATATCCGATTATAAAAATATACATGTGGTATCATTTAGTAAACTATGTGCAGTACCAGAACCAGTCGGCCTGTTTTAAAATTAATATTATAGATTTAGGGAGGATTTTGAGACAGGCAAAGAAACTGGCAGAAGGATGGAAAAACTCATGAGAGATTGGGAAGGCTCTAATTGACTTCCTCAGAAAGGAGATGAACAAGAAGAGATAGGATTCAAGTATACAAAATAAATGGTAAAGAGAAGTAAACTGAGAGGGTCTGTTGTATATGTATCCTAATACAAGGAATTGTGGGATAGTAAAATTAAGTGCTAAAGTTAAAACTAATAAGCATAATTAAACTGGTGGAACTGTGACTGTGTAGATACTAAGGATGTGAACATGTGCATGGTTATCCCACACTGGTAAACTCTCCTGTAGATACTAAGGATGTGAACATGTGCACAGTTAATTGATTGAGCTTAAGCTCAGTGGTTATCCCACACTGGTAAACTCTCCCCCACTGCACTGCTGCGTCTGTACCGGCATGGTATGAACCGTGTGGGTTTTAGGCTTCACAGCACCAGTCTCTCCCTAAGGCACCACCAGCTCTGGAGGCTCAATGCAGTGTCCAGCTCCCATTGTCCAGGTCTCTGGCTGGATTACTTCTGGAACTCCTGCAGCAGATCCTTCTTCTCTGGCATCCAGCCCAGGCAGCTGAGCATCTCCCTTTCATACTGCCCCAGCACTTGGAGCATGCCCAGTTTGGCTGGAGGGGTGGGACAACTTCTACCCAGAGCAATTGCGCTGCAGGCTCTGCTGTATAATCTTTATACTGAAGAGCCCACAGCATGTAACCTAACTAACTGCTTTTTAACATCCCAAAGCTTTACACATGTTATACACAATTTAACAGGATAATGATTTTCAGTAGGTTATGAATTTTCAAATAATACATAAGAAATATATTAGTCTTGTAAAAGTGGAGTATATGTGGTACCGGGTGTCACAAGGGGTTCAGAATGTCAGTGTGGTGTAATATTTTCACATTGCAAATACTTAGACTCTTTGCTAGCTCTCCTGCAATGGCTGTTTCACCAATGTCAAGGATAATCTATGAGTCAAACTCACAATGCAGTGTTGGCTGAGAATAGTTGATATCCCAGCCACAAAAGAGCAAATCCATTCTGATAGAGATGTCAGAATCCCCTGTCAGCTTAACTCAGTGGTTGGCAATTGTGGCCCAACAGAGTTCTCTGATGGCGGGCCTTGAGATAGTTTGGTTTGTTTGTTAAGCAGTCTCAAGCACTTCTCTTCTTCCCCCATCCCCGCCCAGCTCCCAATGGACATGGTTCACTGTTCCTGGTCAATGGCAGCTGCAGGGGGCTGTGCCTGCAGATGTTCACCATGAACAAACTGTGTTGTGGTCTGCTATGGAGGCGGAGGGAGGGCAGCTCCATGTGCACAGCAAGGTGTGGGGCCTCAGCTAAAAGGGGCAGGGCCAGGAGCGGCAGGGCCAGGAGCAGGCAGCCCAACATGTTGCATGCAGCGTAGTTCTCAGGCAGTGATTTAAAGGGCTGGGGCTTCTGGCCACTGCTGCAGCAGCTGGGAGCCCTGGGCCCCTTTAAATCATGGAACCTTGGGACAGCTACCCCCTTCTGCTCCCCTTCTCCCTCAGGGGCCTTGTGAATTACCATAGGGCTTGATGCAGGGTGGCATCAGGGGCTGGGCACCCCCACCCCAGCAGCAGGAGTTGTGTGGAAGTGGAATGACACAGCAGACTGTGTTTCACTTCATCGCCATCTTCCAGGCCTTCGTGGTTGCTCTGCTGACCCCTGTTACGTGTCCCAGCCTGCCTGAGGCTCTGCGAGCTAACCTGAGTATGGCGGGAGACCATTCCATCCATAGGACGGTTGGGGTAGCCACCACAGGGCTTCCAAAGTATGGAGCCCTTTGTGGCTGTGCTGAACTGTTTTATGAGTGGGATGGCTCTGCACACAACTTCCGTGGGCCACAGGGATGTGCTGGCAGTGGCATAGAGCTAGTAGCTGGAAGCTGCTCTTGTCCTGCTGCACTACCAGTGCTGATTTCATAGACCCATGGTGTGGGGCGTTCCATTGCCCAGTATGACAGGCAAGGACAGGGAATTAATGTGTGGAGGGCACATAGGGCAGCAGGCAGGGCTGGTGGGACACAAGGGGGAGGGGAGTCTCTCACACACACACACACATTGGGACACAAGGGGGAGGGGAGTCTCTCTCACACACACACAGAGGGTGCTAGCTAGGGATGTTAAAAAAGGGTCATTATGTAACCATTTACATTCGCCCATAGGGTACATCTATACAGCAGAGTTATTTCAGAATAACTGACATTATTCCAAAATAACCAAGAGTATGTCTACACTACAAGCCTTTAGTTCAAAATAATGTCAAACTGGAGAACTCTTACTCTCTCACGGCAACCCTCGTTTCACAAGGAGTAAGGGAAGTTGAAGGAAGAGTGCTCTTCCTTTGACTTGCGCTTAAATGCAAATTAAGCTATTTCGACTTAAGCTACGCGATGGACATAGCTGAAGTTGCATCACTTAATTCGACTTTAGCCCTCTTGTGTAGACGTATCCACAGCATGTATCAGAGGCAGCAGCGCAGGGCAACAGCCAGCTCCCCTGTAGCCAGTGTGTGCTGGGGCCTAACTTTT